GCTACCGCTGAATAGCATAGGCCAGTATAGTTTGTGTGCACAACATAAAAAATGCAATATCTAAACAACCTGAAATTATATCCATTTATTGATTAATTTCAAGGTTTCCTGCATTTTCAACCCATTGCGCTGATCTTGACTCTGCATCAGAGCAGATTCTGTGCTGGGCCCATCAAAAGCTGCTCGGCTGCTGTAAATGTGCCCTTCGAGCTGGAACTGTGGCATCCACAAAGATATAAAGTCTACAGTGTGATAGTAGATATGCTTACACAACAGAAGCAAACTGCTAAAACCACAAGCCTTACGCATATTTGCTCAGCTCTGGAGTGTGGTCCACTGGCGCTCCATGTAAACATGGTCATCCATGCCTGCAGTTCATATGGGTTTTCAAAAACCATCAGTTAAGTTGAATGTTTGTTTTACGTATCGTTTTTGACAGTGTGTAGCTGGAAGGTTGAATATCCCTCCAGCGCACAGGAAGTATTTGTATAAAGAAATGAAAGCAGTTTTGAGCTGGCATTGTGCTCCATCCCTTGGCTGAGACTCATTCCTGCATTATAATGTATGAAACACAGGAAAAAACACACACAAAATGGCTGCAATGAAAGTGGCTCTAATAATAAAATAACGTTTATGATGGGATATGCTGTTGTTTGTTGCTGTCATTCCAAAAAAAAAAAAAAAAATCCTGTTCATAGATGTCCTTTCAGGGGGTTCATTTAAAGCAGAATGAAAATTATTGACTAATTATGTGTATTTTTTTTAAATTAATTATGCTCTTCATTGAAAATTTTACTAATCTAACCAAATTTGTTCCCATATCATCCCAGTCTGTGGGTTTTCTTCTTTTGTCTTTCCCACGGTTCTGCATTTTGCTGGATTGCAGTTTCGTCAGTTTGTACTAGTACAGTAGCTTGCATTGATTGATCAAGGCAATAAATTTATGCACACGAGCCACTCGTGCTGGTGCTAATGGCCCGTGGATATGGAGGCATTATGCAAATGCATCCCCTGCTCTAGAAAAAGAGTGTGGGTGAACGAGCGAGGAGAGAAACTGGTGATTTTTGGTCCATTTTAGTTGTGTTTAGCCTCTTTATGCCTGAAAGGAGTGGTTTACCATGCCATTAGGTTTTGGATAAATGACACTGCATGTGTGTTACAAACTGAGTTTTCATTTTGAAAGACTTGGAATGAAGAGTTTCTATTAAAGCTACTTCAGAATAGTTGCTGATGTTTGATTTACCTGGGTTACATCAGTGTAAAATTGATAGCATTTGATGGCCATTTGATGGGCTTGTAAGACTTGGTTTATGCTTTAGTGTGTGGTGATGTCTATGAAATTTCTCTCAGGCGTAAGTGTGATTCAGAAGCATTATTCTTTACCTTGCATTACCACAACCCCAAAGCGAGGTGGTAAGGCTGTTATTTATTCTTTATTAAGCCCATCTTTTTTCCCCTCTGTTTATCTGTCTCCAACTTTTTTCCTCTCTCTTTCCTCTCTCTGTTTAGCTATCTGACAGAGGGCTGCAGGATCCTGCAGAGTGGGTGGTGGAGCTCTAATTCAATTTATTCTACTGCTCAGAGACAGACAGAGAGAGCAGGGGAGATAGTGAGAGAAAGAGGGAGAGGGATGGAGACCACAGATGTTAGGGAACATTTCCTATTAGCAGAGGAGAGGGAGGCCTTATAGGGAGCTGGCATGACGATGTGACATCTGGAATGCTTCTGCGGCCGTCTGAAATTATGTGTGCATGAGTGTGTGGTCATTATCGAGTGAAACAACATGTCCTTAAAATGCCATCAGAGTCTGGGGGACCAAACAAAAAAAACCCCTATTCTTCTGTCTGCTGTTCACTAAACTATCAGCTGAGGCACACATGAGTGACAGCTCAGAGCTGTCAGACAAAGTGACCGGTGACATTCACTGAGCTCGTTTCTTCCAGTAAAAAACAAGCAGCTGAGATCCTGTTATCTTACAGTATGTTGTCAAAATACTGCGTGGAAAATCTATTAAATGACTTTTCTGTCATAAACCACAGAAGTAAGTAAACCCCCAGTCAAGACTTTATTGGATCTTAAAGTAGCTCTTAAAAAGCCAGTATGACTGCGTCAGAGTCACTGTTTCCTAACTGGTTGAGATGTTTCTCATTATGTAATTAGAGCTATTCTTTCTGATTGGTATTGGAGTCTCACCTGGCATTTATGTATTGGGATTGTTGTTTGCATTAATCTTCACTGATAATACCTTATCGCTGAAGTGTCTGTCTTATTGCCCCTTAATATGCCCCATAATTAAGCATTTTTCTTAGAGACTGTCAGTGTTCTCTTTATTTTATTAGAACATGTCAAGTGTCAAGTTTAATTAGGTGTATTCAGCTATGCCTCTGCAGTCAGCGATGATGTGCCTCACGATTTGTGTGTTCCTCATTTCTTGTGTATATGCTTCCATTAAGGGAATTATTATGGAAAGTGGCTGATATACAAATAACACAGCAGCTGGAGGAAGCCAGAGGGAGTGTGGGTTGGAACTGTGCCTCGAATATCATATATTTCCATGTTTTTATTTTGTTTTGTTTTTTTATCTCACCAAAATATTGTTGTTTTTTTACTCTGACATTAACCACAAATTTGCCTACAATGCATCACTCATTTGTTTGAAGATTATTATACATAATTCCTGAATGTTAACCCAATTCAGTGATTTCTGTTTGAGTTTAGAAATTTAGCATTTCAGCTCTTAACCGCAAAATTCACTGCTCCATTTGCTTAGAAACAAAAGCAAATCCATAAATAATAACTATATAGAATTTACCAGTTAACTAGTTAGCTACTAAGTTGCTTAATTGATAGTCTTTCTCTTTAAGGCAGGATTAGTCTTTGGCTGATTGGTAGCTCTAGTTAAGATCCTCATTGAAACCCATTACAAGGTCTGTAATTATTGTTGAATAGATTTGTATAAATTTGTAAATTTATCTCATCAGCTTCTTAAGTGCAGCTTCAACACACCGTCTTTGTTTGTAGTAAATATGTACTATTTTTCTTCTCATATGGTCTCTTTCTTTCTTACGTACATTACATACTGTTCACACCCACATTAGCCACCCCACCCCTCCCCATGCTACCTTTTTTCACACACCTGCTGCTTCACAATCACCGGTGATGTGTCTGACACTGCATCCTGCTGTAGGAAGCCGGTGGGGAGGGTTAGGGTGTACGTTTGGCTGTGTGTGTATGATGGTGTGAGCATGAAGACTGTGTGACATGACAGATGTGAGGCATGTTGGGCAATAATGAGCTGTGTGCAGCACAGATAACTGAATGTGACACAATACAGATTTCTGGCTCAGTGCCTACAGCACTGTTACCATGTCTGTGTGTGTATCTGTCAGTCTACTACTGTGAATGACACGTATGCATTAGGTGCAGGCTGATTAAGTAGATGTTCACATTAACCTATGGGCCAGATGTGTTAAGTGGGAAGCATTGGAAAAATGTGATTCCACTCCCATGGGAATGCAAAGTTGTGATCTACTTAAAATGTGCTAATTTATAAGCAAGTAATGTAATAGCCAGCATTCAACCAAGACCAGGGGGCAGCTAAAGAAGAATTGATTTGTCTTCAACTTTAAATGTAAACTGTTAAAAATTGCTTGAGGTTGTGTGTTGATAAGTGTTGGTGCTCTTTGGGTAAATCTGTCTGCTCCAGAGGAACTCAGGACTTAGCCATAGGAGGGCATCAATTACAGTACAATCAGATTCTGACCCATCCATTTATTAATCCAATTACTGTTATTGTAAATCTGTGAATCACATTCATGTACTTGGGTGATGAGGGCAATGATTTAGTGAAGAGCTGCAGAACAAAAGTAAAGTTTTACCACTTTGCTCACAGCTTCAAGCCATCCATATGTGCTGATTACGCATCTATCCAGCAATTGTTCCCCATCTTTGAAAACAGCAAGTGCAAAAACAAGACTTGTTTTTTAAAAAAAAGATTCAACACAGTAAATACTGAGCCATGAATTTAGTAAATCACGCTTTGTGTGATTCATTTAAACGCTCTTCTTCTAAAATTTTGCATACTGAAAGCACAATGCTTTATTTCTTGTTGAATGCATATGTAATAAATCCTAAAATTAAAAGCTTTAAACTATTAGCTACCAAGGAGTAGCACCATTAATTCATTCTTATAGGCTTA